ATATGGTTTCGTATTGACTTGATATAGTTTTGTCATTCCTCAATATGGTTTTGTCATTACTCGATGTGGTTTCACCATTATTTAATGTGGTTGTGTCATTAGTCAATGTGGTTTTAACATTACTTGATGTGAATGTGACTTAACGTTATGTAGTTGTTTCATTACATGATGTGGTTTTGTTATTTTGTAATGATGATTTGCCTATTCTTTATATGGTTTTAACATTACGTAATGATGTTTCAAAATTTGACGATTTTACACTACATGATGTGTTTGTTTCATTATTTGATGTGGTCCTGTCATTCTTTGATGTGGTTATCCCATTACTTGATGAGGTAAAACCACGTGACCAATTCGGAAAAAATATGTTCTATTTTTAAACAGATTTCAATATATCGTTTGTTTAATGTGCTTTGGATGGGTATCGCTATCCATTGAGTTAAAGTTTAAATTAAAGTTCGAGTGGTTGTTCAGAGTTATTTGGTATGAAAAAGGGGAACGGCAGACAATAATAAGAAAAAAAGTATTAAAAAGTTTACAGTATTTCGGACATAATTGGGATATCCCCAAACCACTTGGTCCTGTTGTTTTTATCCTAAGTTCTCAAACGGAAGCAGTATTTTTGTAATAAATTTGTAAAATATTCCACGAAACCCTGTGACTCGCCTGATATTGCTGCTGTAAGTGTAAAAGCGTCATGTTGATCGGCTGTACATTTATATATAATACATTAATCGGTAAAAAAAAAAAATTTTTTTTAAATGTTTTTCTGTAGATGCTTTTTCTTGAAATTGAGGAATAACTCCTATACAAGTTTTAAAACACTTCATGGAGGTTTACAAATGTATCATGTCAAAACAGTTTAATTCGGTTTTATTTAACTAAAACAAAACTGTATGGTTTTCAACAATGAGCAAAACCCATACCCTATAGTAAGCTATAAAAGGTCCCGAAATGAAAAAAGTAAAAAACTTGAAACCTAACGATCTATAGATAGATAGATAGATACTTTATTCTCTTAAAACTAAATACAAGTTTACAGAGAAACATACAATATAAATACAGATTCAATAGTCGAGGTAAACAAATACAGTATGATATTCTAAAAGTACAAAATTATGATGGCATACGTGTTTAGTAACATGTATAATGAAAGGTTAAACTCAATAGAAATAAAAAAAAAATGGAGATGGAGACGCCGACTCCACTATCGACGACGAAATATAGGTTTGTTGTTTCTCACTGCCGCTACATTGATGTCGCAGGCTCGACACAAATCAAAAGACTTGAACTTTATTGTTAACAAATGAAACACTTCAAATCAACTCACACTAAAGTTACAGGGAAACGGGGGGAGGGGGGCTCGGACTAAGCGACAAAGCATCAATACTATAAAATAAGAATTCTCCGATTTTGTTTTTAGCGTAAATGATCATTTGAACTTATACGAATATCAATCTTTTATTTGTAATCAATTGAATTCCCTGATCGACCTCGCACTAATTGAAAAATAAACTTTTTGGAATATCTGTTTCACATGTGACGACGGACATGTTCCAGTGGTCGTAACCATAATACCGTCATCTTTTCCTTGATGGTAAACTACCAAATAAAACCAAATCACTGGGTTTGTACTTTCTCGAATAACACGACGGGTGCCTTTATGGAGCATCCGAGATCAATCCGAAGGATTTATATTACCCAGTCATACCGATCTATTGAATCAGCCAAATGAAACTGTTTTGTATGCCACCGCAACTGAAAGTTGGGGGGCATATTGTTTTACCCCTGTCCGTCCGTCTGCCCGTCCGTCCGTCTGTCCGTCCCATTATGGGTACTTAGTATATAGTTATTCCGCATAACTCCTCCTACAGTTTGAATCCTAGGAAGTTTTCTCTTTACTGTCTGTTTGTACATATATTGAAGGTGTGCATGTGGTCAGGGTTTTTATTTTTATTATCTTTTGCTCTTTTGGGAGATAATTGAACTTTTTTTTGTCATTTTGGGGGTATAAGCGGTTAAATGAGTTGAGTGCGGGAGCATCACTTTGTCTAGTTTACATTTTTTTCTCGTGTTGTGCTGTTACACAACAGTCCGATGTAAGATTAGGATTTAGCGCTCACATGCATGTTAAACTCCGCCACGTGCACTTTTTTTATGTACCTGCCCCATGTCAGGAGCATGAAGTTCAATTGTTGTCGTTGTATAAATGTGTGTAATTTTTTTTTGTAGATTGTTTATTTATAAATAAGACCGTTTGTTTTTTCGTTTAAATTTTTTCACATGGTGCATGGTGGCCTTTTGTAGCTGACTATACGGTGTGTTGAAGGCTGTGCGGTTGCCTATATATGATTTCTTACATCCACTGTATATAAGCTCTGGTGGATAGTTGTCTCATTGTCAATCACACCACATCTAACTTTATTTCAACTTCTATGTTGCGTTTTGTATACTGTAACATTGTTTATCTTTTGTACGCATACCCCGGAGCCCTCTTTTCGGAAGCCCGAGCAAAAGTCCTTGTTCCGCGATAGAAAATTTAATTACGAACTCATATAAGATAGCTCGAATTTCAACTCAAAATCTTAATTAATCTAAATGAGACTTAAATTCGAATCTTACTCAAACTCTACCTCAAAAGGTGACTCAAATTTAATGTTGTAACTAGAACTCTACCTTTATATGTGACTCAAACTCGAAGTCCAACTCGAAACTCAATGCTAACTTAAACTTTAATTCTAATAATGACTTGAATTCGAAATCGAAGACTAACTCAAAGTTTAACTCAAACAGTAACCCGAACTTTAATTTGAACTCTAATTCGATGGATGGCCACACTCATCCAAGGCACATACAACATGGAAATCTATCTAAAAATAGAACAGGTTTTTCCGAATTGGTCACGTGATTTTACCTCATCAAGTAATGGGATAACCACATCAAAGAATGACAGGACCACATCAAATAATGAAACAAACACATCATGTAGTGTAAAATCGTCAAATTTTGAAACATCATTACGTAATGTTAAAACCATATAAAGAATAGGCAAATCATCATTACAAAATAACAAAACCACATCATGTAATGAAACAACTACATAACGTTAAGTCACATTCACATCAAGTAATGTTAAAACCACATTGACTAATGACACAACCACATTAAATAATGGTGAAACCACATCGAGTAATGACAAAACCATATTGAGGAATGACAAAACTATATCAAGTCAATACGAAACCATATCGTGTAATATCGAAATATCATTAAGTAATGACTATTCCATATTGAGTTATATCAAAACATCATTACGTAATGTCAAAACCATATTAAGTAAAGACAAAATATCATCAAGTAATAATAAAACAACATAAAGTAATATCAGAGTACCACATAAGACAGCTGTGGCGTTCCATATCTATGTCTAAATTATTTTGTTAAACATCCTGTGAAACCTGATCGATTCGTCGGTATTTAATTGTTTTACTCGGGATCCGCTTTTAACCGGAAAATACTTTTAGAACAGTTTAAAACAAACGGTAAAAAGCAAAAATATGCTAAATTAAATACAATTTTCCATGCTAAATTGTTATAGGTTGAACAATTCTCGTCCGTTTTTCAAGTTTTTTTTACATCATACGACTTCTTTCTGAAGGTAGAGGTTTTATATGATACAGCGCCACCTTCTTATTAATAAACCTCGGATTTCACACAGGTGCTTTATAATTACCGGACTCGATAAAATCACGTGACTGATAAGAATTTCCAGATGCCATTTTACAACCGCGGTATCACAGATAGTAAACAAAGGGGTCTTGCCGCTGAGACTATAATTGGATAAAATTATATGACTTTAGTACAGAGCTCTGCAGGCTGTTAATACATGCTAATTAGTCGTTGTTATTCCTTTTAAATATTACTTCCATGATATAATTAAATGAACACCTATTTAAAAATTATAACAAGGAAAAACCATATCAAACAATACAACGTAGTATTTGGTAATCGTTAAGAAAACACATTTAATGTTTACAAAGGCGTAAGGATTAGATGTTTAACTATTTACTGAGGTTCACCAGAGGATGCAACGCATTTATTTTAGTTTATTTTATTTTATTAACTATTATTGGGGACAGTCGGATTTGCAACTTTGTAAATCACAGTATTGCAGAAGAAAATATTTGCTCTGACGGTATCCATGTGACGGAATGGCTAAGACATGTTAAGTTTAAAGTGTTAGCCTAGGTATAGCCCATGTATCTTTCGAGGCATTTTAAATGACAATTTAGCACAAACATTCGAAACAAATTGTTTTTTTTATTTACTAGTGTGATTAATCAGTGATGCCTATTTAATTTTCCGAAAGAGGTTCTCAGGAAGATTAATTTTAGAGAAAGAAGACAGCAATATTCTAACAGGAAACCGATTAGTCGAGTATCGTTTTGGTATTCGATACTCGGTACTACCGAGCGAAACTCGAATACTCGAGTACCCGTTGACATCCCTAATAAAAATATTATATGCATATACATCGAGTATCAGGGTTGATTGATATGGTTGCGACCTATCTAAATTTATGTCATTGTCACTGTTTCATTACCGGTATGTGAAAGTACACGAACTGCTTTTTTTTCAAGAGTTTTAAAGTTAGTCCGCCAGAAGCACACCGTATAAATCTACTAAAAGTGTCCCCTCTCATAGATTTCTCTCTCATGATCAGTATATCCTCATCGGAACACTATCTTTCTATGATCACGAAAAGGGCATATTAAGGCCCTCTCCTCCTGTAATAAATGGTAAACAAAACATTTGACTTCTCTAATATTTACCAAAGTATGCCCTATCATAAACTTAAAGATAAATTGAATGAATAATTCCAACTTTGTTTCACGAAAAAAAGAATGCCCAATGTAAATACTCATATCTAGTTGAAGGAAGGGACAAGTACAACTATGTACAATAACCACTCTGATTCAAACAAAACAGTACGGACATCATCAAGATGCTTCATATGTTTATTGACAACATATTTGTTACTTTTGGTGGACATGTTTTACAAGACAGTCGGCATTTTTATGGTAACTATGCTCCTTTTCTTGCCGATTTTATTCGCTTAAGACATACTTTATACAAGGGCTTCTAAAGAAGAATAAAAAGCAAAGCCAGCATTGATAACGTACTTCTATATATAGATGATGTCCTCTAAGTCTGACTAAACAATTCAAAGGTTGTTGACTATTATAGATCGCATTTGTGTGTTGTAACATGTAAATATATTTAACTGTAAAATACACGAGTTTGTGACTTTGCACCTCGTGCGAGGTACGATACTGTGTTTAATATAATGTATACTTTCAGTTTTGTTACTTTCTGGTATTGATATGATTCATTTGCTTTGCTTTGTTATCAATTACGTATTTTCAGTAATGAAAATTCATGTAAATTACATGTTTAATTTATATATGCACACTTACAAGCTATAATCAAGCTTGGTAAAACTATTTCAAAGTACGCTTTCCATACAGATATTTTAAAACATGATAGGGCGTCATCAGTTAGATGAACTATTGATCGTAGCTGCACATATCACAAACTAAGTACCCTTTATGTGTTGATGCCTTAAACAACCATAAAGGAACAATTCAAATAACAAACTTAAAATTCCCTGACTCATAATTTAGTTATCATTATAAACTCTGTAATTGTTATTATACGTTAGTATGTTGTCTGATATGTAATTATGTCCATTGTGTCCTATTCCTGATTGTATCATTTCTATGTGACTGAAGGGGGAAATGTGACTGGATGTGGAATCATATCGAGGGTGATGCGTGCATAAGTTTTGTTTGCTTCCTTGAATTGTTTCTTCATGATCCATTTATGAGATTTTAACATCGGTAAACTACTATTGCCTTAATTTATATGAATGGATAATTAGATTATACAAAATATAAAAAATATGTATTTTACAAAATTTTATACTTTTACTTCAATTCACAAGACATTTTTCCGAATTAAGAAATTGTGACATCAGACAAGATATACCGGGAAACACAAGTTTACTTGATTGCAACGAAGAACACATATTATACAAAGCACCATTACATTTAACGAAAACACATATATTTATTAAAAGAAATGCACTTTTATACAATTCATCCTCGCATTTAACGAAAACACTTATTATACAATACACCTTCAAATTTCACGAATACACATTAAACATTTCCCCCTTGCATTTAACGAAAACACATATGATACATTTCAACCTCGCATTTAACGAAACCACATATTATACAATACACCCTCACATTTCACGAAAACACATATCACATAATACACCCTCACATTTAACGAAAACACATATAATACAATACATCTTCACATTTGTTTTAAGCATTATTAATATACAATGAAATCAAAAATTAAATTAGTTGCTTGTTTGAGTCTATTTTTAGGCATTTATACCTAAAAACAGATATAAAACAGGTTATGTTAGACATTTTGGAGATCGATATTTATTCATCAGCGAATCCTTTAACAGCAAAGACATGCATATAATAATTGGCTCCTTGCCAGATGATTGCGCATGCTTGGAATACCATAAGAATGCAATGAGCTATGTAGAAGTTATACCATAGCATCACACCAGTCAATGACACCAAACAAAATATCCAGTTAAACACATAAAACATAATGCATTTGTGTCTGAAAATAAAAGAAGAAACCAAACTTAAAACAATCAAACGTCAGATCACATACACAGACATATACATTTAGATATACGAAGTAATAACCTCGATCAATCGATTACCCTCTTGCAAACACTTTAGATTATTATTTACTTTATCCTTACACATTTTACTAACAATCACTTAATTTCTTTTTTCAAAAGATCCGAAGTTTATAAATTTTCATATTTTCGCCAACTGCCACAGCAATGCCGAAAGTGTTTCTATCCTGTAAATATGTTTTCACCAAAGAAACTTTAATTTCAGTGAACTTTTTTTTCATGGTCAATCTACATACATGGTGGATTCTTTTCTTTTAAGAATCTGTTTATGTACATATAAAAAGAAGATGTGGTATGATTGCCAATGAGACAACTCTCCACAATAGACCAAATGACACAGAAATTAACAATGGCCTTCAACAATGAGCAAAGCCCATACCGCATAGTCAGCTAAAAAGGGCCCCGAAATGACAAATGTAAAACAATTCAAACGAGAAAACGAACGGCCTAATTTATGTACAAAATAATGAACGAAAAACAAATATTAAACACAGCAACAAACGACAACCACTGAATTACAGGTTCCTGACTTGGGACAGGCACATACAGAATGTGGCGGGGCTAAACTAGTTTGAAGGCGCCAACCCTCCCCCTAACCTGGGACAGTGGTGTAACAGTACAACATAAGAACAAACTATAGAAATCAGTTGAAAAAGGCTTAACTCATCAGATGCATGGATGTATATCTAAACTGACTGTAGGAATAGAATAGTGCTTAACATTTTGTTTATTCTCATTAGAGGTAAACATTTGCATATGTGCTGTAGAATTCTACGGAAGAATTTTTTTCTAGTGTTTTATATTTCATTGCATATCGGCAAAGATTTTTACGTGGATGCATGTTTTTTTAAGTATTATTTCAATGAAATTCCAAAGTTTTCTGTCTTCATGGCAGTCTTTATCAACAAAGTAAAAAGGAACATTCCTTTTGGACTTTCTGATTGGTTCAGACGTCAGTTGAACTTTTAAAAAAATTGTCTATTGAAAGATACTTACTTTTTACCACAACAGTGAAAAAGTTTTGTGAGACAAGCTTCTTCTTTTAAACTGAGGTAACTGTAGCTCGTAATGTAATCATCTGATGGCTTCAATATTCTTTGGACGATGATATGGTAAAGAATCTGCATTGTAAAATCAATAAGTTACCATTTGAAAATTTAATGTTATTCTTGTTATTTGAATAAAGTATGATGCTGACATGTAATAAAATTTTACCTTTACAAGATCGATTAAATCCGCTCACGGTGGTTCGACCTAAAATAAAAAAAAAGTTAAATTCCCTCTTATTACGTTCCTATACCGATATTCAAATGTGCCACTTTACACCGACCTCTATGTAACATGTAAATAAAATAGCACTTAAATAACACTTCAGAAAGTTTTCTTTTACAAAGATGTTCTTTTTCTTTTTCTTTTTATTGAACACTTACACTGTGAATGAAAAAGCAGATAAATGGAAACACTGTCAACCCGATTACCATATTCACGTCAACTTCGGTTGATGGTTTAAAATCATTCATCCAATATTGTGATGTTGATTCTGGATACCATCGTACGCTGGAAATTAAAAAAAATGATTATTTATTGTTCACTCCGTTTGCTTTACTGGCAATTATATGTTATCATAAATCATTCAATTCATCTTAAAATTAATCGATTTTTGTACAATTTCCCTCAGAAATTGTAATTTGTGGCAACAGAAACTAAAAAGATTTACATGAAGGGTTCTTTGAATTGCGTTTGGTATATTGTCTCCTGTTACAGTGTAAATTACGACAACTGGAGTGAGACCTTTTCTCATTGTATGCCTCGTCTATTGTTGGCAATATCTCTTCATCTCAATACATTATCATTTGTGCATGGCGTTAGATCTTCTTATTGTTTTACAAATCTTAGTATCCTTAGTATTGTTAGTCTTGTATCATTTTTAATTTTAGTTTCTTGTGTATAATTTGGAGTTTAGTATGACGTCCACTATCACTGAATTAGTATACATATTTGTTTAGGGGCCAGCTGAAGGACGCCTCCGGGTGCGGGAATTTCTCGCTGCATTGAAGACCCATTGGTGGCCTTCGGCTGTTGTCTGTTGTCGGGTTGTTGTCTCTTTGACACATTCCCCATTTCCATTCTCAATTTTATTGTATGTAGCTAGCCAAAAGGAAAGTAAGTTCTAAAGTAAAGTTAATTGCCGTTGGTTTTCTCGTTTGAATTGTTTTACATTTTATCATGTCGTAGCCTTTTACAGCTTGCTATATATATGTGGTATGGGGTTTTCTCATTGTTGAAGGCCGTACAAACCTATAGTTACTAACATCTGCGTCATTTGGTCTCTGGTGGATAGTTGTCTCTTTGACAATTATATCACATCTCCGTATTTGATATTAAATATGACATACTTACACAAAAGACACTAATGGAGGGAGGTAATGTATATAAGATGATGTTACTTTGTCTACACTGTGAAAAACAACTGCATTTCTGTACACAAACATAGCCCAGATCAATGGTCCATTGGCTAGACCAAACACAATAAAGAATAAAGTATCGTTATCAGGTATCCTGTTAAAATAGTGAAATCATATTACTTTTAATTTTTTTCCGAGATTAAATTATGAAATATTTATGTTGTATTTTTGTTTTGTTTATTAAACCTGGTTCTTTGTCTATTTGATGTGTTAACCTGTTTTAACTATGTAGAGTCAAATAGGAAAATTCTACAACAGCTCCAATGTAAGCCAAACTAGGTTTATAGACATCAGCGAATCAACTGGGTCATGTCTTGTATATTCTTAATAGGGGGCATTGAGGTCCAAACATTTGAAAGTTTTGTAAATAACTTTCAAAAGTACGGAACATACATAAGTTAACAGGGAATTAAGTAGGTTCATAAAGGGTTCGTCAAGGGTTTTGTAGAACCATGTGGATTGCTGCGACTGCTACTGACAGTAGAAGTTGAATGGTTGACTGATAAAAACTAAGTTTATTCATTAGTAAAATTCAGAATGCATTAAAAATCGAAGTTTTGCTCAGGGAGCTGTACCTTGATTATGAAAATAATTCTGTCCAGGTTTTGTAATACATGCTGGTTTGACAAAGTTATTCAAGTTTAAAAAAATTTAATCACAGACTTTCCTAAATTTTATTTTACTGCAAAAAACCTAAATCAATTTATTAGTTAAATATGGAAAATGGTGAAAAGTCTCAATTTTACTCTATATGGTTTCTCTTGGTCTAAAAGTTTCCAGATATTCTCAAATGATAAACCTTAAACTGTAACTCAATGTAAACTCTTAGATAAATAAGTCCATTTATCCGTAAATACAGATAGACTGACATTATCTAAATGGAAACTAAAATAAAACCTGTTGGTTTTATATGAAGATATGCATATATTGGTTTAATTTACAACTACAACTGTGTATGTCATGTGGAATATCCTTCCAATCATCAAACTTGCTTAAAAAAAAAGTTCCTTTTATATTTTTGTCAGTATTTCAGATACGATACCTAAATGCTTATAGTTTGCATTGGTGTGGTAAGCAATTTAACTTACCAGATATGCACAAAGACGAAAATATTTGCAAAGTAACAGAAATCTAGCAGGAAATACTGGTAATTTAGTTTCCTGAAAAAAAGAAAAGAAAACGTAATTTCATATACTAGATTAATATTATGCACAAATGATAATATATAGTATCATAAATTATAGTCCATATAATTTGATTTCTTTTGTGATCACAATGATCACCACTGAGGAACATAGTATTATCTAAAACCAAATAATTCGAACACATTGTATCTAACAAAAAAGGGGAAGGCGGGTTTACTGTAAAGCAGTTTTACAAACTAAATTAAAATTATGCATGGATTATGATAAAATAATACTGAATGAAATGTGATTATATGCACGTTATACATGAGTATGTTTTGGATTGGCTTGAGTCGTTGTGCCAGTAGAGGAACCATGAGTCGACAACCTTCTGTATACAATACCACAGAGAGTTAAGTCTCCCTTTAGCTTCACGCAATAGATTATGCAAAACTATAGAAGCATTTCCTATCTCTACCTTTCGTTTTTTCTAACACTTTTCATAAGAAAAATATCGTAATTGCCTACCAATACATTACCACACGGATCACTAGAAGAATTGGTGTGACAATTGTGTAAATATATGGAATCAGCCATTGTTTATATATTGCACCATGTGTCAAGCAAATTATTGTGACAATGGACAGGAGATGGACGATCTTTTCTATCAGACGATTCTTCTTCTGTTCCTGTAAATACATGAAGACTTGTCAGACACCTAAAATTGACAAATTGTGATTATAATACGAACTATGTATTAAGAGCTGAGCAATGAGCTGATTATATACTGACGGACTTTAAAAACGCATTTTGTACCTCGTGAAACATTTGTTTGAATTCATACCCACACTTGAATCAATGAAAAAAATGATGCATATCCATATTGCCTGGACTGAGCAATGAAAATCTGAATCAGGCAATTACTGAGCCTGTAGTGACGACGCCACTTCAATTAATTAGGCAACGACATTTGCAAGAGAGGTAAACGCCTGCAACGTCTACTGCTGACCACGTCCTCACGTGTCATGGTAGACAGATTCACGCTGTAGATGTTTCCAATATACAGAAATGCCATAGAATCGACTGCAGAAAAACATTTTAATGCCTTCAGTTTAAATCGCATAACTGACTGTAATGGGTGAAACAGAGGCCAAATCAAAAGGGTCATTGCTATCGATGCCGAGACATCCATTGAATGAATAACAGCAAATTTGCGGAAAATTAGCTACTTAAACCAGTTTCATTTAAATGCAAAATCAGGATTCATGTTGTGTTACTAGGAAACAAGTATTTTAGTTTGATTTATAAAATTATTAATTTTACTTTGTATTCAAGAAAGAAAAAACAACGGGGTGGTGAGAGGGTAAAAAAATAGATGAACAAACATCTGCTTTACATTAACGTAGTATAATTGATGGAGTGAAGTTGCGAGGAAAAATCCAGACAGATTTTTACTTATTTAAAGTGTTTCAACTTTTCTCTAATCAACACAAAAGTGTTTAAAAACCAAATAACTTGTATCAGATGCAAGATAAACTCGTTAAAACAGTTTTGTTATATGAATACATGTTACAGTACAAATTTGAATTCAGTAGAATCCAGAATCCTCCTACTACAAATTTGGATATATCTAAATTTCTTCTAGTAGATATTGGAATCGGATTTGTACTGGATTGTAATCAGTCTAAATCAGAATTCTAATTTGTATTGGTACAATGTAGATTTTGGAATTCCAATTTGTACTAGGAGGATTCTATATTCTACTGTATTCCAATTTGTACAGTTACATACACAAGTAAAATCACATGGATTCAAGATTATGCGCTTTTCAACAACAACAAAAAACTTTCAAAGAAGCTTATGAGACTTTATCAAATTGATTATCAGTGTTATAAATTTAACCTATCAGACAAACCCTTATTGTCCAGTAGCAAAATTATTTAACGCAAATTAAGAACAAAAATAATCTGTAATAATATATTGGTAAAATGATTAATACTGACGAAGGCCATTTTTGTGCCGAAATATTCGTCTTGCAATACGGTCTTATTCGTTTATATTTATATTTTTATCAATATCGTTATACATTACATTCGAAAAAAATAATAGTAGAATTTACGTCACTGAACATCCATGTTACAACTTGTCTTCGACTATGGACGATATTGAGTATGTAATATAAGTGTTTATACGTGGTCATTAGTAAATGCGGTATGGTCATCCCAAGGGGTCTCTTGCTGTTGGATTTATTTTTCGTTGTTGTTAACCTCCTACTATTAAACGATTTTGCCGATCGACCCCTACTTAACCACTGCATGGTGTTAATCTCATTGCCCCGGAAAAGACAGCTGTCCGTGTTCTATAAGTGACAGCTGTCGAGTTGTTCACAGTTTTAACTCCTGTGTGTCTTAACATGGTTAAGTTCCAGGAGAAAATAAAAATAATAGCTGTTTTCTATTTTTTTTTTAAATTGACATGATGTATGTAGTACTATTATTTGCATGATAACAACATTGAGATACTGATAAATTGAACGAACGATAAAACGTTGATACGCAAGTGTAAATACGCAAGTGTAAACATTCCGATTTCAAGATCAAAAAGCAGGACACAGCAATCCGACTTTTTCCTTATTTATTAGTACATCAAAATAAAAATTAAGAAGTTACCATGTAAGAAACAAACACAAACCAGAGTGCATACCAATTTTTTCAAGCCTAACTGGTACTTGTATTATTGTGTATTACAGTATTAGTAGTGGCAGGTCTAAACCACCTAGACTCTTGACCAGTTGTTAATCAATTATCCTTCTATTCATATTTAACGGTATATATATCGTTCAATAGAGAAAGTTGTAACTGATATGGAGTTAAAAAAAATTGTTACTTGTAGAAAGTATATCTAGCTATCGACTTTTTACAGTCGACATTTGTCTTGTTTTACCGCTTGAAATTTGAACATAAGTAAGAATCGTTGAGTATTATTAGAACTCCGTTAACATCCGAAATCTTAATTTGCTTGGCAGACGATCGAAACTTCAGTATCCCGAATCGGCTTTGGACAATTCGAGTCTAGGTGAATCTAGAACATATAAGTTACCTCGAGATCAGCTAAGGGTGCAAGGATAAACAAACCATTTTGTGATTTATAAGAACGTTATCAGCAGTCTATAGCTAGCTGCAGTGCGATATTTTCTTTTTCCACCGCTGTGGCAAGTGGAAGTAAGTAGCTGTTTGAGTGACTCAAAAATGGAAAGTTTTTAACTAGGACTGGCATTGTAAGCTGTGGTTTTGGTTCATAATTAAGTCAAGTTTTGACGATTGATTAAGCAAAAGAAGTATTTCTAAAAAATCGTTTCAACATAATAAGCGGACAACTTCAAAATAGCAAAAGATCCACATTTACAGCTTCAGTTGATCATGTTGATGAATTGTTTCAAAGCGGTACTTGAAATGTCTCAGGACGTTGGTTAGGAAAAGTTGCTATATTCGTTACGTCTCCTTACCTTTTTGAATATAGTAACATCATCGGCAGAATCAGAATCCGATTTCGTTTTCCGAAGTTCGCAATACTCAATAGAAACAGTTGTTTCTGCCTCTCCCATCATTTATCCATTTAATTATTACACACAAGTGGTAAACAAACGTTATTACTTGACTTTTACTCTCCGATCAAAGTTCATTTCACACATGTAAAGAAAATGATAATTAAAATTCAATCGGCTGATGACATAATGTTATCTTATCTAACGTAATCCTCTTGTTGTCATTTTTGAATTTATCAAATGATATCATCCCTCAGGTGCGATAGGAATCTATCTTCTTGGCATATCAAATACCAATTATACTATCAATAATTTATGTTTCTCATATCAAGTTTAGTTTCCGGTTTTTCTTCCTAATTAAACAACAATACAGTCACAAGAATAAAAACCATAAAGGCAGAGTTGCCTATTATGATTAGCAAAATGGTTATTTTTTTCACGATAGGGTTTTAAAAAAAAGATTCTTGTTTTGTTTATATTTTTTTTGGGGGGGGGGGGGATTCAGAGTGCCTACCGGATAAGCTTTAGTGTTTCGTCTTATTCTATAATTGTTTTAGTTGTACTTAATGGAGTACTGGTAAAAAGCAAACGTGACCTTTTCAATAGCTACCAATTATTTAAAATGATAACTTGGCAAATAAAAACTAATTCAATTTGATTTTATGTCGAATTCCTTTTTTTATTTTACATTTTAATATCACAGTAAAGGGAGCAATGTTGAATTTGATATCTGATCAAGTAAAACATTATAAAGCAGGAAATAATTTCTGTCAAATAAAATTAAATTACAAAAAGGGGGTCATGTTTGTCTAGTTTTGTTAATTTCATTGGTTCTTCTCGAATTTAATTTTGAACTTAGGATTAGCAAATCATTTCCTTTTCATCTCATTATTACTTTTATCTCATAATTACAAAAAAACAAAAAAGGTTTTGTGCGATTTTAATATTTTTACTTGTCCTGCATGGGTCTGATTTAGAATTTATGGAAAGCAAAATGTAGGCATATATTTATTTTTATCACGAATAGTTGTGTCTCATTTTACTACTGTTTATTTGTACTATAATTTAGAATTTATGGAAAGCAAAATGCAGGAATATATTTTTGTTTATCACGAATAGTTGTGTCTAATTTTACTACTGTTTATTTGTACTATAATTTAGAATTTATGGAAAGCAAAATGCAGACATATATTTTTGTTTATCACGAATAGTTGTGTCTAATTTTACTACTGTTTATTTGTACTATAATATAAAGAGACCAAAACAAAACAAATGTTTTTTTTTCTAATTGTGTTACAACAAATGATCATTTGGTACAACAAGAAGTTAATAATTATAATACTGTTATGTACTCGCACTGCTTCAATTTGATATGGAACTGAGGAATTAAAAAGCACGAACATGGTGTATACTGAGCAGTTTTCGTACGTATCATTGTATTTTGAATATTGACTTTAAAGGAGGATGCAATGATTTACAAACTTTTTTATGCCCCCGCCGTAGGTAAAGGGGGCATTAAGTGTTACCCTTGACTGTCCGTCTTTCCGTCCGTCCCATTTTCCGGTTTGTTTGAAGCTTGAGCGGGGGCATTCGTGTCCTCAGACACATTTTTTTTTTATTTATTAATTCTATTTATGACTTTGTCATCATATTATGTACTAGCTGCCGGCTATTGCTTTGTTGATTTAATCAGCCATCGTTGACCAAAATGTTTATGTTTATGCCTGTAAAGCTTTTCTGTCAATGGTACACATTTAAACTGGTAGACATGTACATCCCAATCTAAGAAATAATGATAAATAGCACCACAGTTACACTATCAGATTTTTTCTCAATTATGATTTTGATAAGACAGATTAATAACTTGGTGAAGCAAGTTAATATTTTGTAACAAGTTGCTTTCTTTAAAAAAAGAAATGCAATCGTGACTCTAAATGCCTGTTTGGCATGAACGATCAGATAATCGGTACATAAAGAAGCATGATTTTACCTCATTTTTTTAATATAAAATGTAGAAAAACTGATATGGATTCTTAATGAAGGTGCTGTTCGATGTCTGGTATAATTTTCTTGTTAAAGAAATAATTTCTCTCTCTCCCATCCCTCTCTCTTCCGATAGATAACATTACAACATGCAATCTGATTAAAATTCAGATCTATCTTAACTCGCATGCTCGTACACATAAGCATATGAGGAAAACGAAAACATATCTCTATATTTAGATTAGATTGTACAACATGCTAATAAGAGGCAACCACTGTTTGTTCCGTTCTGATGTGTCATTTCTGAAATCAGAGGTAGCTTCCTGGCTAATGTCGAAATGTAAATGTGAAAACAGTCTTTGTTTTGAAGAAGTTTATGAAATGAATCATGATTATTTGTTTGTACTCAGTTTGAAAATAATTTAAAACCCTAAGCTATATTCGTATTTGTTGATTCCGAACTAAGACCGTTTTGGAAAATCAATTACGTCATTGGCTATCATATTCGAGATATGCTTGATCTCAATTTATTTATACCCTAGGCAACAAACTCAAAACAGACTTTTAGAGTAGAAACAATTTGAAACCTCAACTTTATACTTAAATCGGATATTGATTTTAAGAAAAATAATTTTTAAACAAAGTTGTCGCCAAATACGTTCAAGACCTCTGTCAACTAGACCCTCTAAATTCGCTTATGACTACATATTGGCTCGACTCTCTAAAAACAAATTGACGGAATTCCCAGAAACTTGCACCGATTCTCCTTTAGGTTGGACATGAAGTTGTGCAACAGCTACTTCAACTTTTAATCTGATTTTATTTTGAGGGGGAGGTGGGTTGTTTCAAATACCGAAAACAAAATAATTCACTTTGCCATTTATAACTATATGTTTTGGAGAGGGAAGTCGACACACGTGCCCTTTGGAAAACTCTTCCTAAAAAAATTAACATACGCATCTCTTATTTTATAAAAGAAGCATGAATAGATAATACTCATCTTCCTGTTATTATAAGTCTTTGGACAATTGCTAATCTATCCTCGTAAACCACATACCGGTAGTAATTTATGATAGTTTTCAATGCCAAACATCGAGGAATATATCATACCTCAATTTGTTTTTATTTCATTGATCATAAGTTTTAAACTCAACTCCAAATAAAATCACTCAGTGTCTGTAAATCTTCTCATATCTTTAGAATTATTGTAAGGACCCAAACGCAAATTCATTTATGACTCTGTTTCGATGTGACTTGTAAATTTTGCATTTAACACACATAAAAGGTGCCTTTAAATTTCGTCGTAATTTCCAGAGTTAACTTGTATTTTTAAATAAGATTAAGTATGGTTTCTTTAAATAAAAAAGGAAGATGTATTATGTTTGCCAATGAGACAACTCTCCACTAGAGACCAAGTGACGTAGAAGTTAACAGCTATTTGTCACCGTACGGTCTTCAACAATGAGCAAAACCCATACCGCATAGTAAGCTATAAAAGGCCCCAAAATGACAATGTAAAACAACTCATACGAGAAAACTAACTACCTGATTTCATCGCGTTGTCATTTATTATAATTATTGTTTTGTTTCCTTATTTATATTTAAGTTTGATAAAAGTTTAGAGCCTTAGATACTATAAATAGAAATTCGTTATCTTATCTCTGACTGTATCTGTCATCACTCAGTCTTTATAAAAGACATTCGTTATTTTATTTCCGACTCTGTATTTGTATTTCACCACTGCTATTGCATATACATAATCATTTTTTCTGTTATACGACATCACAAACATCAAGCCCAAACATTTAATTATTCTTTCAGAATCGTCAACATACCGCTAAAATATATTAAAAAATACAAATTTTGTTGTAGCAGCTTATATCTGCATTTTACACACCTCAACGATTCTTTAAGGTTCAGTTTGTTTTTCTTTAATTTATTTTCTTTTTATTTTAATTTGTATTTTTTTCCAATACTTTACCAGGTAAATAATATGTGAATATAATAATTCCGTTTTTGTTATTTTAATCAAAATAGGAACACCTTGACAAGCATTTCCGGTATTCAGAAAGACTACAGCATCAACCAATATACGTGCAATAAATGATCGATTGCTTGCTTGATTGGTTAATTGTGTTTGGAACTTACTTCAAGCATATTCAAGACGAGAACACAATTTCAACAAATCCAATAGGTAGGTTTACCGTTAGAACTGCAAATAAACTCATCATCGATACCAGGATTAAAATTTGTACGCCAGACGCGCGTTTCGTCTACAAAAGACTCATCAGTGACGCTCGAATCAACAAAAAGTTTAAAAGGCCATTTATAAAGTACGAAGTTGAAGAGCATTATGATGTCATGGGTAACCTAAAATGACGAATTTCTGAAACTATTTGTTTTCAGTTTTATATTTGGGATTTTCTGTTACAACATCACTCGTTGTATCAGAATTGTAAAATAAGTTAACAATGTATAATAAATACGTCCAACCCTAATGCTAATTGTCATTTTTGTGTTAATCCGCTCATTAGCTATGCGGATATTTAAGTTTACATCATGTGAATTGAAGGCTTCATAAATGCTGACAATTAAGCTCTTCCTGTTTTTACTTATTTTGACTTCATGTTTAACTCTATTGTTATTTGTTGCTAAGTGTTTTATTATAAAAAGTATGTTTTTATTAAACGAACAAGTTCTGGGACACCCTTGAAACCGGTGACATGTCCAACTATATCGAAATTTAAAGGATAAAGTCGAGCTATCCGCTCGTGGATAAAATAAACCCTAGATAGTTCCCAAGAGGAACTCGTGTATTTCCCGCCAAAATATAGCGTAAATAGTCCAATAAACTCCCGTTAAGAAATAGTTCTTTCTATAAAAAGATTAAGATGCCACAAAAGGAAGATAAGAAGATAAGAAATATGTCCTTATTTGATGAAATTGGTAAATACTAAAACATAAACCTTTTACGAAATATTAGGTTTCTGGTCAATACAAAAACAAATGAATCTTAATTCGATTTTTAAATTATCTAAACGAAAGCAAATTTATATAAATATATATATATACTCTGCAATTGAGGTGTGAAGTGAAAAAATATCATTAAATGT